TCAAAACTTTTGTACGCATAAGGTCGAGTGATGTAATCGAATAAGCAGTGCTTCACTAATTGCCAAAAGTTTAGCATTACGATTACGTAAAAGTGGTTTGAAGGATGAATTGGGGTCAACTATGTGTCTTGTTGTCATGAGATGTTTTGCAACAGATGACCTTGGATTTCTGGTAACCACTTGACCATCAATTGTCGGTTGCGTCATCAATTTCACCAACCACTGGAATATGTTCGACCATCCGTTGCGAGAGTTGGTGGTTTGTTCTGCCTATTTATGCGTCACCGCAACTGCAGGTGAACTGGTTGGTATACAGTGTGTGAGACAAACTGGTTTGCCATCCATGTTTACGTTTGTCCAAATCAGTTCCACGAGTGGAGGCGATGTGTCCGAGTTGAGCAGCTGAGAATGTACAGCCTGTAGACCTGTAGCGAAACAATTGGTTTTATGTGTGCCTATATTTCTTCAAACAAATTTCCGTGGGGTTGACCGTCTACCCGCTAGATTTAGTAATCTTTATATGTTTGTACACGTTCATTTACCGTAACTGAATAACCTCATATGCTATAGATATGCTTGTATGTTTTAAATAAGCAATTGAGAAGATTAAATGAAATGTTAACATCTCGCGACATTTGTCTTCTTTCCATATTGATGACATGTTAAACTGTTTGATTGGTTTATCCGTTAAATGGTCTAATCCACCCCATCTCACCCCATTGTTGGTTCATAATTTGTTGTGATGGTGCATGCACATGAACCGGATCAAGCATTCTGTTTCGTCCCCCTTCCCTGCAAAATGCTTGGCTCATGTGATGGTTAGAAAAGAATTCTCGTGTCATGTGATTCGTCAACACGAGTGTGTGTGTGTGTGTGTGTGTTATTTGTGTCCGGTCCTAATCCAATTGCACTTCAATGGACCGGTGCTAGTTGCATAAATGGGGTTACCGATGATTGATCTCCAATGCCCTCTACAGACTCTGTAGTCAAAACTTACATATGTGGCATGTAACCAACCGCAAAACCTCAAAATACACACCGTCTGCCAGTTCGACATAGGCCTACATCATTGGTGCTTAAAACGGTGTTTCGGATTCCACCGATGGATGGTAGTAGCGCAGTGGGTTAGTCGCTCTCACCAACGTGCTTTGGACCCTATGGTCCGAGGTTCGAGCCNCCCCGCCACTACCATCCAACTTTACTGGTAGACAGCTTTACTGTCGTCCGGTTCAATACCACACCTAACCTATCGGGGCCTTATGTGGTTCACCACTCCAAGTCCCACGGGGCTTAGGTTGCCGGTTTCCATCATCATTGAACAGCAGGTTCTCATGACTATGGGGTTCACCCCGTCTGCTGCTCATCACACGTGGGTGTGTAATCAAAAAAGTCCGGCAGCATCAACTAAACCAGAACCCTAAAGAACATTAACTGAACATCCTTTCTATAGTTTCTGTTCCGCCTGAATTAAGAGACGATAAATGTAGGACTTTCAGTTGATTTCGTTTTTATGACGTGACATGACATCAAGCATGACAGAGAGAGTAAAGATGACAATCAAAGAAATATTTCCATGCGAACTGTTCAAATTCCTCAGATATTGAAGCTACAACCTTNTCCCCCCCCCCCCCCCCCCAAAAAAAAACAAACAACAACAACAACAACTACAACATGCTAAACCTGTCTGTTGTCCTATTGACAGTCATTTCGTGCTACTTGGATTCATTCACTGCTTCTTCTCCCCTATCCCACCTCACCCCATCTACGAAACACTTCGATTCGATTTAGGTTCCATCAAGCCACGTGTGGCTCGAAGGTGACAACAGTGACCACTCTTTGGACTCTCGAAACTACGGTCCGGTTCCGACCTCTCGATTGGAATATCGCGTCCTTCTGCGACTGTGGCCTCTGAACAGTTTCGGTCGACTAAGTTCGTATGGACCGAACCCACCGGTTCCCCTGTCTACTTCATCGTCCCCTAGCCTGACCACTTCGGTCGAAGCGTGCTCGGACTTTGCACGAGTGGACAAGAAAACGTGAGAATAATGACTATCCCTCACTCCTATCCCATCCCCTTTGTGTCCCCGCTAGTGCATGATCTGGTCCAATTGACGATTAAACAAAACCAACCACAACCACCGCCACCACCTTGTGATATAATTTGCTTAGATCTGTTATTTTCACAACTTCCGTGCATTGCGACAAGTAGCAATGGCTCATGGCATCTTATCCAAGGCCGTTCACGCCCTCCTCCCGTTGTACAGGAGAAAATAGGTGAATCCGAATGTACGCATACACACACACACACACGTCAATCTCCTTCTCAGGACATGGTGACAACAAACCCCCTTTCGGTCACAACCCGTTTTGTAGATGTTTCTGATTTGTAGATGATGAAAAAATGCAGTCTCTTTGAACTCCGAATTCAATTTCCACAATGCAACTTTGTGTTTATACACACAATTCCGGATCTGATCTGATGTACAGTAAGTAATCTAGGGCTGTTCGTACGATGTTCCTTCTTCTCCATCCGATCATCACCCTCAGTCTTCAATTTCGGTCGGTGGACACCTGGAAATTATATGTATATGTAGTACAGAAAATATTTGGGCGAAATAAAACATGTACATGAGAACACCACACGCCCTCATTTTCCACCGTACGTGATCGTCATTCAAAGATGGAGATTTTTGCAGTACTGGTTGCTTTTTTGATGCTCTACTTCCAGGATTCGTGTTCAAGGTGAACGATGAACAGGGTGCGGCTGGGGTGATAAAGTTCCGTGTGAATACATGCTGTCGTTTCCAGTCACCGTCTGTTGCTCATATTCGCCAACTGTATAGGCGCAACTGTTCGATCCGGTGGGTCCTCTGCTGTTTCACCACTTCACTGATAGATGAGATACGTTTGTAATGTCTAATTATTATATATTCCAAAGGTAAATTCGTCATGTATATAGCAAATGAATCGTAAAATGAAAAGCTAGGAAGCACTGGACAACTGTTTCGACCTGGTTGGGCCTCATCAGCAGTGCGAATCCATCGACCCAATTGGGGATCGCGAACCCGAGACCTCACAGGCAGAACGCAAGCATGCCACTGGCTTGGCCACCCCGGGACAGCTGATTAGACTGTTTTTCACGTTCCATTTACACGATATAGCACAACCCATTTCTGTGAGCTTGTTGCGGGCCTCAGACCTAGTTCATCTCAGCACTATTCAACCTGTAACCAATTACATAGAGTTGGAAAATGTGCCGCAACATATGAAGAAAAAGTCTGTAGAATGTGATTATTGGTTGTTCTGACCGAGAAAAGGGGATAACCTCGAGGTCTACCTGCAAGAGGGTAGAACGGAGCTTAGAGTCCGCAGTTCATTGGGGGAGGGCGGTGTTCAGTTCATCGGATCATTCGCTCTTTGGACAGGGTCGAGATGTGGTTCATACGTCTCTTCAATGGTTTGGAATCAGAGTTTGTAACCAACTCCCCTAGATGAACTGCTAATGGTTCACCAACCAGGTTATAGCTCCAGATGTTGGCCTTTCGTCCTCTCACTTGGGTGAGGAAAAACATCCGTAACACGAGAAGGCAGAATTGGCTATTTGAAAAGCTTGGTCTTATAGGATATCGAAGGAAAGGGTGACTGGTCACAACCCGGGATACCTACCTTGAACATACTGAAGATTTCGGAGACTAATTGATGAGATTGTCGAGGCGGACCGGATGAAGATAGCATCCTCTCTATCCACATCCGACATTCCTCATCGGTTATATTTAATTTCAGTTTTGTGCTCCCAAGGATAAGCGAAGCATTTAAAACAAAATTACTTTAGTTCGGTACCATATTTCGAGAGGTCTGCATATAAGCCACATGTCCGTGTCTTAGTTCATGTAAGCGTGATCCCTACGGTTTGGAGTTGTCATTTACTGATCAACCAATAAAGAACTGTTCAGAAGGCTGGAAGAACGAGAAAGTGTTTAATAAATTCTATTGTAATGCAAACGTACTCCGGGCTCTCACAGAGCAACGGAGTGAACGGATATGAGCGACAGAATGTCCCTCGGCTCGTATTCTCACAACGGGAGACGATACGAGGCTTTGCGGGCGACGAACTGCGAACGACGGCGGGGATGCGGGACACGGGTTGGCGAGGAAACCCTGGCAAACAGGTCCCTTCAGTGGTTGAAGTGAAACCTGCAAGGCAAAGCAAACAGAGAACGCCATGAACCGAAAAGGCCCCTATGAGAGACAAGCACTCACGACAAAATATTACTGGCGCGGTTACCAAGCGTTACACTATCTCAAATTGATAGATACTCTTGACATGCACACACACACACACACAGCACCACTATCCTATTGTCCATTGTCCTCCATTAACCACGTGTTGTTGATTTCATCCTCCAGTGCCTAACTGTTCTCCACGTTGTTTACGTAGGCACCATTATTAGTATGTTTGCTGCGCTATGCTGCCCTCTATGTTGGTCTCAACTGTCTCATCGATCCGTGCCCATGATCGGCTGACCCTGACACCTGTGTACCCGTACACATACACACAGGTTTACCGCACAGCTGGCTCCGATGACTAACTATCATACCCAATGCGTTTCGATTGGTTCTCTCTAGGTCACTTTCCAGCACTGACTAACACAGATACAGGTGATCTTGTTTGACACTGTTTCGGTGTATTTAGTTCCATTGTCATCGTGTTGCACGCCTGATTGCTCGCAGTTTTTGCTTGTCGAATTACTGGCTTCACAGATTCCGGCGTGTTGTTCAACCGGATCAGTTTGCCACAGTTTGNNNNTTGAGGTTTGCATACCGTGCACCGTTGTAATCTGTATTTTGCGCGTCACTCTACGTGGTTCGTTGTAACCTGTGAAGTCAACAGACAGTGTTGTCGACACGGTGGTATGAAATACGAGAACACTAGCTGCATAACGAAGGTGGTTGAGTGCACGAGTGCCCATGTGTACGACAATCCATCCTTTCACCCGGTATTTCTAGCCA